TTGATTCCATTGGTTGTGATAGGGTAACCACCAGATCATCTGCAAATGCCTTTACTCTATAATCCTCTTGCCTTATCATTATGCCTTTCAAAATTTTTGAGTCCCGTATTGTATTTAGCAAGACTTCCAATGTTAAAATAAATAAAAGTGGGGACAACGGACATCCCTGTCTTGTTCCTTTTTCAATTTTAAACTCTGTCGTCAAACTTCCATTAATAATAATCTGTGCTTTTTGCTCTTGATAAATTGCTGAGATTGCCTGTGTAAACTGGTCCCCAAAGCCCATCTTTTTTAAAGTCTTTAGTAGAAAATTCCAATCCACTCTATCAAAGGCCTTCTCCGCATCCAAAAAGACCAGCACTGCAGAAATCTGTTTATTCTTATCAAGATATTCCAATAAGTCTATTACTTGCCTTACATTGTCCTTCATGTATCTACCCTCAATAAATCCCGCTTGGTCCTCATGAATCACCTTTTGGATTACTGGCATCAACCTGTTGGCTAATACCTTCGCGTAAATTTTATAGTCTGTATTCAAAAGAGATATTGGTCTGTAGTTCTCTGGTTTTTTAGGACCAACTTGTTCTTTTGGTATCAAAGATATATAAGCAGTTGTCCAGGATGGGGGTATTTTACCCCCTTGTTGAATATTGCAAAATAAATCTCTAAGTTGTCCCACCATTTCAGCTTGTAAAGTTTTATAGTACACTGCAGTCAAACCATCCGTGCCAGGAGCTTTGGCTGTTTTTAGCTGTTTAATTGCTGCTGTTATCTCCTCCTCTGTTATAGGATAATTCATTCTTTCCTTTTGTTGATCAGTAATTTTTGTAACTCTCTTATCCTTTAAATATTTTTCTATAAGTCCATTCTGCACCTCATCTTTGGCATATAGTTTAGTGTAATAATCCACAAAAGCTTCTTTAATTAGTTTTTGTTGAAAGATTTCTTTCCCTCCAATATCAATACTATCAATAGTCCGTATACTTTGTTTTTTCCTCAATGTGTAAGCCAACCATCTGCCCGGTTTATTAGCATTGCAAAATGTATTATGCTTCGCGTATTGTAAACTTGTTGCAACTTGTTCCGCCATAAGCATTTGGAATTGATCTTTCAAAAGTTTTATAGCACTTCGTATTCTTTCATCTGTTGGGTTTTTAATAAGTAACTGTTCTTTATTCTTTATTTCCATTTCCAACTCAGATCTTTTCTTTTGTCGGAACAGTCTATGTTTAGAATTCATGTAGATAAGTACCCCTCTCATATAAGCTTTACTTGCATCCCAAACAATTTCAACTGGGGTACCTTTATTCAAATTTATTTCAAAAAATTCTTTCAAATGCTTTTTAAGTTCTATTATATTTTTTTCATATCTAAACAGGTTCTCATTTAATCTCCAAGAACGTCTCTCAACCTTATCCATCTCGATTTCTATCCATACAGGACTATGATCAGTCAAAATTCTTGGAAAAATCTTTGTTCTTTTTGTCTTAACAAGTAGATCATTTGACAACAAGATAAAATCAATCCTAGAAAAAGATCTATGTCTATCAGAAAAAAAAGTGTAATCCAATTCATTTGGGTTATGTATTCTCCAAACATCTTTTAGTTCCATATCTTCTTTCATATCAAAAAAGGTCTGTGGTAATCTAATTCTAGACTTTGCCAAGCTCTTTTTATCTAATTTAGAATCAATTACTCCATTCCAATCTCCCATAATTAAAATAGATCTGTAGTCCCATTGCAATATTTTAGTATGTAACATCTTGTAAAAATAATCCTGTTGTTGGTTGGGAGCATAAATTCCAATCAAAAGAATTTGTCCATTTGCTGTAAACAATTCAATTGCTACAAATCTACCATCTTGATCTACTTCTATAACTTTTGCTGTTAATTTTTTATTTACATAAATAACCACACCATTCTTTTTCTGCGAAGTTGAAGATATATAATGTGCTCCTAGTTTTGAGTTTATCAAATATTTTTGATCTTGAGTTGTAATGTGCGTTTCTTGTAAACATATTATATCATTATTAAATTGTTTCAAATATGTAAATAATTTTTTCCTTTTCTGTGCTGAATTCAACCCATTGACATTCCAAGATAAACACTTAAAGGTCATTGACCTCTTCATGGAGCGCGGAGCAATATGCTTGAAGTTCATCCACAAGCTTCGATCTCGCTCCTCCCATAGCGCCAATCTCTTGTGCAGTGCTCTTAACTGCCTTCTTGTCTTGTCTTTCCTGTTGTTGTTGTTGCTTCTGTTTAAGTAGCTTGGATTGAGCTCTAGTTATACGTTGATCTTTAACTTCAGTCAACTGAATCAAATCCAAAATTGGAGAAGAATCCAGCGATGGCTCACTCAGAATACCTCCTTCTGCACCTTGCACGTTTTCTAATTCCTGCTTAGACTGTTCTTTCAATTGCCTCTCTTCACTCTCCTTAATCTCCAGAACTGTAGATGTACGTGGAGATGGTGTTCTTTCCATAAAAATAGTACTGTAAAAGTGTTGCGCCTTCTCCACGGTATTCAACCGATATCCTTCTCCCTTATATCTGAAAATTACCCCAGCTGGTGCATCCCACCGGAAGGGTATCTGTAAATTTTTCAATTCCTTAACAAGAAAACCAAATTCTTTTCTAGCTTTCAGCATTTTAGGAGGTAACTCTTTAAAAATTACAAGCCGTGAGCCCCCCACTTGTATAGAGGTGTGGAAAGATTTTTGCAGGATATCATTTCTAATTTCTCTCTCAGTAAAGTATATGACCACATCTCTGGGTAATTGTCTTTGCCTGGCCACCCAAGAGTTCACTCTGTAAATTTTATCTATTTTATGAAATACCAAATCAGGATTAACTTGTAGAATCTTAGCCAGGGCTTCAGAGCAAACTTGTCTCAAGTCCTGTCTTTCCTCCTCTCGAATTCCCCGAAGCCGTATGGCAAATTCCATCGCCCGGAATTGTATCATAACAATCTCATCTTCAATTCTCTGCATTTTATTGTCAACTTCATCAATTTTATAATCATTGTCTTTCATCCTAACATTAACTTCTGATTTAAATTCTTCAACTTTAAAATCAACTTTCCCAATAAAATCTGCCAGGCCAGACGCCACTTCTGATATTTTTTTGGTCACCATAATTTGGTTCTGTTTCACCATGTCTTTAATTTCATTAATTTCCTGCAAAAATTCCTGATGTGATTTTTGAAGTTCCTGTTGTGATTCTTGAAATTTATCATCCAAAGTTTTAGAAATAAATTCTTTTAAATCTGCCACATCAAATTTTTTTTCTGAGTTTGTAACTGTTGAGCAGGGGGAAGTTGCGTTTGCTGTTTGTGTGTGGGGGATCCCCCCCTAATGCCTTCCCTTCCTGCTTCTTTGAAGCCATCCTGGCTCGTGATCTAGTTTTTCTAAAGAGGGAGGTTCCTTTTCCTTTCCCTCCTGCACAAAGACTTCTAAAAAAGTCCCCCAGATTTGATCAAACAAGGGTTAAAATAAAGCAAAGTCCAATATTGAAAAGGGAAAAATTTTCCGAGTTATTTCTCTTGTAACAAGCAAGGCAGCTTAGTAGCAACTTGGAAACTTTGTAGCAAACAAAGTAACTTCACCAATCCACACTCGCTGGCTCGTTAACTCTGAAGCTAGGCGCCATGTTTTTTCAAAGCACTTTCACTCACTCGCATTTTCTCAGATTGAAAAGTCAACAAAGTGCTAATACTTGCGTTTCCAAATTTCAGGATTCAGGTAGTTTCGCTGTTTATTAAAGCTGGTTCTTTCGCTTTAAGTTTCCTGCAGCCGGCTTGTTCTGCAGAAGCAGAATCGTCCCACGCCGCCCGGAGTCTCAGCAGGTTGGAAGGGAGCCGCGCCTGTTTCCTCCCCAGAAACAATTCCCTGGGGGGTTACAGGGGCTCGACCTGTACCCTGCTATCTCTCCTCCAATAATCCTCAGGATTTTGAAGTTTTCGAGCCGCTTCTCGATCGCGAAGCGGCTCTACAGGCGGCGGGGCTGGCGGAGCTTCAAAGAGCGCCGCCGTCGCCGAAGACAAGGAAACCGGAAGTCCGCGGCCCTTTCTTGATCGGGATTCCTTGTGCACAGTCACTCACGCCCTCGTCACCTCTCGCCTTGACTACTGCAACGCTCTCTACATGGGGCTCCCTTGAAGAGCACCCGGAGGCTCCAGCTGGTCCAGAATGCAGCAGCGGGGTAGTGATGGGAGCAACATGGCGCTCCCATGTAAACACCTGCGCGAGCGCGAGCTGCACTGGCTGCCGGTGGTCTTCCGGGTGCGCTTCAAGGTGTTGGTTATCACCTTTAAAGCGCTCCATGGCATAGGGCCTAGCTATCTCCGAGACCGCCTGCTGCTACCGACGACCTCCCACCGACCCGTGCGCTCCCACAGAGAGGGCCTCCTCAGGGTGCCATCAGCCAAACAATGTAGGCTGGTGGCCCCCAGGGGGAGGGCCTTCTCTGTGGGGCTCCTACCCTCTGGAATCAGTTGCCCCCGGAGATAAGAAGAATCCAGGACCTCAATGCCTTCCGTCGTTCCCTGAAAACCCATCTTTTTCAACAAGCCGGGTTGGCCTAGAAGAATTTTTTTAAAATTTTTAAATTTTTAAATTCTTTTAATTAGTCTGTGATTCTTAACTTTCGGGCCAAAATTTATATATATTTTTAAATGTTTTAATATTTGTATCCTATGTTTTTTATCTTGGCTGTACACCGCCCTGAGTCCTCAGGGAGAAGGGCGGTATATAAATTGGAAATTAAATTAAATTAAAATCTTCAAAATGAGGAAATGGTACTGAGTCAGAGGTTATTTTGTTTGAATCAACTTGGGTTGAATTTGCTACTTGTGTGTGAGGCAAAAGACAAAGAAAAGGAAAAGAAAGCTGTCAAACCCAGAGAGCAAGTACGATTGTTACATAAAATTTGTCATGAGTCAGTCATGATGGAGGGTAGTCCCAGTTACAAGCATTCTATTAGCTCACTTAGTTACATACTTTTTTGGCCCGCAGTTCTTCATTTTCTTTTATGCTGTATTTTTCCTCATCATCTGCCATGAGAAATACTGAAAAACACAAGAGATTGTTTATTTTTTAGTTGATCCAAATAAAAAGAATCATGTTCCTCTGAATTGGACAACAAATTAATTTCAGAGTACAACTGATGAAAGTTGGTTTAGAAGATGCATATGTACTCGCTGTGTGCTTTTATAGAAAGTATATCATATAGAGTTAAGGACTTCCTCGGGAGTAAATATAGAATGTAATCTTATATGCATGTCTAGTGGAAATTATGCCACACTGAGTTAAATTACATTTAAGGTGTAATTGCCACAGAAAATTCATAGTAATATCAATCAGAAAGCATTTGGCAGCCTATTATTTATTTATTTATTTATTTGGCCACCCAATTTCCAAACAATCTGGGTAGCTTACAACTGAAAACCAATTTATTAAAAGAAAAATACAACAGATGAGAAGAACAATAAAGAACCAAACTGAATTAAACCAAACAAACTGAAAGGGGAAAGAGGCTGTCTCCAAGGCCTAGGAAGACAACCAAGACTTCAACAATTTCCTGAAAGGCACAGCATATTTAATACATTAGAAAAGCGCGGGGGGTGGGGGGGGATGAATAGTTTCTTGAGTGGAAAACTTAGAACTTCCCAGCTTAAAATTTATGGTCAGTATATTGTGAGATTAAGGAGTTTTCAACACTACTGCTTGATGTTTGTGGATGTGCCTCTCAGTTTTCTGTCTGTTGCCCCACATAGTTCAACCACAAGTTCAACTAAAGTTTCAGAACAAGTCAGTTCCAGAATTCCTACAGCATGGCACTTAAATGAATCAGCCGTTAACAAATAACAGATAACTGAGATAAGTTTCATCTATGAGCCATTCAAGAAAGAAGCAAACTAAGATCAAGGAAAGAAGTAAACAGACCAAAATATACTCTTCCTCATTGCACCACCTATTAACCAGTACCCAGATAAGCAGGAAAACCAGCACAGATAAATATGAACAATCAAAGAAAGAACCAATACCCCACCCAAAAAAGCAATCAAGGAAATAATACCCCAATCAGAGTTGGTAGGGACAATTTCTCACATATAAACAGCCAGCAAACAGCACTCCTCCATGCATGGTGATGTTACCTAGCCTGGTAAGGAAACATCTTCAGGAAGCGAAGCAAGCTCAGAGAACACCAAAAACCAACAACTCAATCCTCACTTACAATCTCTATTGCAGCATGACACAACGTATTAAGGGAAAACCAGACATTGTGGTTCTTCCAATGTGCGCTCTCTGTCTCTCTCTGTCTCTCTCTCTGTCTCTCTCTCTCTCTCTCTCACACACACACATACACATTTTTTATTAGTATATATGTGAAGAACATTGCAATATATGTCTTAGAGAAAGATAGGAAAAAAGTAGAATAAAAATGTAATAATTTTTCAGGCTGATTCATATTTAATTGTTCCAACTTGAGAGGGGCGAAATCAGCCAAGTGGGAGGGAATGTGTGTGTGTTTGTGCTAGTTTCATATCTTTAGTATGGCAAACTTATGCAGTGTGTAACACAGCTGTGAGTCTTTGTAACTTGGTTGGATATAAATACATTAATGCACGTTCAGTTTAATGCATAAGACACACTTAATAAGCATTTATGATCCAGACAAATTAGAGACAGGATAAATATAGAACTCAGTTGTCTCATGTGAACAATCATATCCTTATTGTAACCATAAGGCAGAAATATTTTCCTGTTGCTCTTTCTGAACACTGACACGTAGATAGAAAGTGCTCAGCCAAGGAGGTTGGTTGGAAGTCTGTAGGAAAAAATATAGCTCAAGCTTTTGAGTGGTCTTGGACGCTAAAACTGTCTGATCAGGGCAGATTTCTGAACCTGATTAATCAAAATAAAGTTCCAATTAATTCAGTTGTCCTTCTATCTAGGATTTGGCCATGTAGATATAGGTAATGCAGATGATTAATTGTGGCAAATTGCAGAAATTAACCAATCTATTACCCTCCACTAGAGACAAACAACCTGCTCTCCAACAAACAATTTGGTTTCAGAAAAAAATTTATCCTGTAACTACTACATTGCAAAAAAATATGATTACACATCTCGATCAGGCAAAGCAATAGACTTCTGTAAAGCTTTTGATTCAGTGGGTACATAACAAATTACTTCTAAACTAAAATCCTTGACATTTCTTATTATATATATATATATATATATATATATTATATATATATATTATATATTATTATATATATATATATATATATATATATATATATATATATATATATATATATATATATATATATAATGTAGGTCTTTGGTTATTCGGGTCTTCTCCCACGTAAAATTGGAAGTGTCTTGGCGACGTTTCGACGAAAGTTCATTGTCTTTCAGGCTGGTGTTCTCGTCAGGCTGGTTCCGCTTCGTGCTTCCAGGAGCAATTTGCAAATTGCTCCTGGAAGACGAAGCGAGAACACCAGCTGAAGATGAAGAATGAGACTTGTCGAAACGTCGCCAAGACACTTCCAATTTTACATGGGAGAAGACCCGAATAACCAAAGACCTACATACAAACACCCGCGAAACCTGAGAAAATATATATATATATATATATATATATATAATATATTATAATATATATATATAAAAAAAAATTAACATACATAACATACATGAATCATAATATATAATATATAACAATATACACAATACAAACAATCAACGAGTGCTCCCCCACCCCTCGGGATCATTCCTGCTTCCAAAATCCTAACGCTTCTTCTGGTGGTGGTATCCCCCTTCCTCCAGAATACACATATATTAGGAACTGTTTCCAGATTCCATTGAATTCATTTACTTTCATTATGCCCCTCCTTACTTTAATATTACAAGTCAATTTATCATTTATGGCAATATCCCATACTTCCTTATACCATTCTTCCAAACAATAACCACCTCGTGTCTTCCAGTTCCTAGAAATCATTAACCTTGCTGCGGTCAACAAATTTGTTATCAACTCTTTAGTCTCTTTTTTACACTTTATATCTTCCAATAGTGAGAGTAATGCTACCTTTGGTGCCTCTTCTACCTTTATTCCTACAATTTCTTCAATCTCCTTAAACACCATCTTCCACAATTTTTGCACAAATTTACAATCCCACCACATATGTAAATATGTTCCTTTTCCCCCACAATCTCTCCAACAGTTATCTGAATAGTGCTGATTCATATTGCTTAATCTAACTGGAGTTAAGTACCACCTCCATACCATTTTATAATAATACTCTTTTATTCTTACTGACATATTTCTCAACACTCTTTGTTGCCAAATTCTGTCCCAACTCTGTTGCCCTATTTGTATCTTCAAATCAGTTTCCTATGACATTTCTGAACTCCTACATAAATAGATAGCTGCCTTACTGTCAAACAGGCAACAAGTGATCAAAACAGGAAGCGCTCTATCAAATTCTGTATCTGTTAATAGTGGTGTTCCCCAAGGCAGTGTTTTAAATCCAACACTCTTCATACTTTATATAAAAGAACTTTGTGATCATATTAAAAGCACCTGCATTCTCTTCGCTGATGATGTTGAACTATTCAACACCACCGACAATGCAACTACCCTTCAAAAAGACCTTGACTATGCGTCAGATTGGTCTAACAAGTGGGAACTTCAAATCTAAACCAACAAATGCTCTGTCTTGCACATTGGCAAAAAAAATAAAAAAATCAAAACATAAAATACGAATTAGATGGACATGACCTTGTAGATGACCCTCATTCTATCAAGGACCTTGGAGTACTCATTTCTAAAGATCTAAGTGCCAGAGCCCACTATAACAACATTGCCAAAAAGGCATTAAGAGTTGTTAACCTAATCTTGCGTAACTTCTTCTCTGGTAATATTGTACTACTTACTAGGGTATACAAAACATTTGCTAGACCAATTCTTGATATTGGTCATCTGTTTGGAACCCGCACTGCATATCGGACATTAATACAATAATAGAGTCCAGAGATATTTCATGAGAAGAGTCCTCCATTCCTCTATCCACAATAAAATACCTTATGCCACCATAAGGTATGGGCAAATTTTGGGCTTAGACAACTTAGAACTACGCCGACTTCAGTCTGACCTAAACATAGTACATAAAATTATCTGCCACAATGTCCTTCCTGTCAATGACTACTTCAGCTTCAACCACAACAATACATGAGCAAATAATAGATACAAACTCAAGGTACACCGCTCCAAACTCGATTGCAGAAAATATGACTTCAGTAACAGAGTGGTCAATGGCTGGAATGCACTACCTGACTCAGTGGTTTCTTCCCTAAACCCCCAAAACTTTAACCTTAAACTGTCTACTGTTGACCTCACCCCATTCCTAAGTGGTCTGTAAGGGGCATGCATTAGTGCACCAGTGTGCTTACTGTCCCTGTCCTACTATTCCTTTTTACTCTTTTCATGTATTCAAATTATGTTTATACTTTTACCTGTTATCTTATATATGCTCGACAAAAATAAATTACAAAATACCATCACATTTTTGTGATAGGCTTCTTTACCTTGCTTTTCTCTGTCTTTTATCTGGATGAGGATAATCTAAATAGGGAGAGAGACCCCAAAGAGATATGTCATTCAATAAAGGTTCAAGTGCTCTTTAAAAGCACTTCCCAGTCTTTCCATTTTAGTGGACCGGAGCATCACTATCAGAAGCTTTTGAAGATCCTCTAGCTAGAATTCAGTAATAAAGTATTTGCAGCATCACGACAAATATTTCCCTCTCCAAAGTGGATCTCCATTAATTAATCAATGTATTTGAAAAAATAATAATAGGACTGAAATATCATGAGATTGCTAAACCCATGGTTTTATGTTCCCATAATCCTGAAATATTATGAGATTTTGGCTGAGGATACCAAAATCTTGCAGGATTTAACATTCTCAAAAGAGTTTGTTCATTAATATATATATAATGTTTTTTTTCTGCACCAAGAAACCACCTGCCATATCTTTGAACCACCAGTGAGCTCTGAACCAAACGTTGGGAACCTTTCTCAACCATTCTTAAGTCTGACAATTCCCAACAATGGAAAACTGCTCATTCTGCAGTGCAAAGGAAATGCTGCAAAACTGCTTTCACGGATTCCTTCAGCAGAATAGCTAAGCTGGATATTAATTGGCAAGCCCCACAGCATCAAAGGAAAATCAGGCTACTATATTGATCCTAGATCAAGCAGTCCTTACATTGTACAAAGTCCAGATGTGTATATAGATTGCCATAGGTTGAATGCATATCGTGGAAGTCAAAGACTTGTTGATGGGAATCTAGATGAATTTGACTGACACTCCAGTCTTTCTGTACATTGAATTATGTCACGTTTCAAGTTCAAATCAGTGTTAGTACGTTTGGTCAACTCATAGCCTGTAAGCATTTGCTCCCAAGTTGGAGTCTCCAGTCCTTGAGATCATGTCCTTAAAATTCAGCAGCAAAATTATTGACTTTCAGCAGCATGGTTTTTAGTAACAATTTGCTAAATAAAAGGTAAATGTTGATATGTTAAACCCCCTTGAGATACAGCATACCATCTGATCTTTTCCCCAAAGGCTAAAATGTACTCCCTCCTGGGTTTGGCATTGCAAAACCACTCATGCCCCAAAGGCCTTCAAAGGAACATTATTTATGCTTCCCCAAGCTTGTCCTTGCCTTAATGTAATGCCTAGGTCAGCTCCCCCGTGCATGCCCACATGCCTCCAGCCGACCAGCTGATTTTTGGGTCTCTGCTGGGAGGCACGTGTGCATGTGCGGCGGGGGGGGTTGCACGTGCATGTGGGGGGAGGGTAGGAGGTGTGCATGCACTGGGGGTGGGGTGCAGTGCATCCCCCACCTCCGTTTTTTGCCTCATACTTGAGAGAGGCCTGTTAGCACAAAAATGGGGCATGGGAGTGCGGCGTGCCCCCCCACTCCACGTTTTTAGTCCCAGGAGGCTTCAGGGAGGCCTGCTAGCACCAGAACGGGGGTCACATGCACATGCATGGGGGGAAGGGGGAGCGTGGGGGGTCGCACATGCATGCACAGTGGGCGGGGGAGCACGGGGGGGCATTGCATTATGAGTGTCGGCACACACGCACCTGCGGCATCCAAGGAAAAAAAGGTTCGCCATCACTGAAATATAGGAAATAAAATCTCAAGCAGTGAGATGCAGCTGCAAAAAAGGCTAATGCAGTTTTAGGCTACATTAGCAGAACAGTACCGTCCAGATCTCAAGAAGTAACATTCATAGGATACCGTGTTTTCACCCATTTTATGTATAGCCCTATTTTGGGGCAATGTACTTCCCATAAAGAATATGGAAATTGTAGAGTCAATAAATATATAGTTTGCTGTCCATAAAGAGGATGGTTTAAAGGAACTAATTCTGTTAGTCTGGAGAAAGAAATGACTACATAGGAATCAAGATATTTGGAAATACAAGGAATAACCAGGACTCTTCTAATCACAGAAAATATGTAAACCTCCTTCTCTGTTGTCCCATAATTCAAGACTTTTGGGGTTACATTATTGGAACTGGGTTAAACATTAGGAGAACTTCCATGACAGCAGTTTAAGAAGGGAACAAATGATTTGCAGAATGGGTGGGCTCTTCCTGGTTTTCAGACAGGTTTTCAGAAAGAAGCTTAACAGCATCTGATGAAAATGCTGTAGCTCTAGAATTTCCTGCATTAAATGGGGAGGAGGGGGTGCCTATGAAGCCCTTCTCCAGGTCAGTGATTCTTCTAGCCCTTTTCACACACTCCTTGTGGGTGAACTTGGAGTGGAACAAGACGCGAATTTCCACATGTTATGTTGGCCCTACCATGCCTTGTCTAGCCTGCACTTTCTGTTGGTTTCTGTTTGCAATTATAACTCCTCCATACTTCAATGGCACAGGACAGTCAAGTATGACTTGCTCAGTTCCAGGCAGCATTTTCTCAATTGCTATTTCAGTGAAGTTCTTTGAAAGACAGGAAGGTTAATGTAACTAACTCCTGGGGAGGCAGGAAATTAAACTTCCTCCTCACATCTGAATTAACCCACACTTCCTGTTGGAAACTAGAAGTAGTTGTTCATAGGAAGTTAGACTGTTTCAAGGGCAAGTCTTTCTTTTTTTGCCTGAATTGTTTGTTTCTGCATTTTTTAAAGAGAACACAGAGAACTGAAGTGGCTCCTATCTTGCTACCTAGCAAGCTGACTCACCTTACTCCCTCCCTTCCTCCTCTTCCTTTCCCCTCCCCTCCATCCTGGTGATTTAACAGAACAAGGTGACTCTTGCTTAAACAGAGCAAACAACCATTTCTAATCTGCCTCTTTATCTTTCAAATATTAATCTTGAAGGAAAAACACAATGACAGCTCTGAACAGAGGACCTGGAGTGACAGGGAAGGGCTTTTTCAAAGTTATCAATGCTTTCCTCAATATAATTCCAAAATCTGAAGTTTATTTACCTAGCGTTGTTTATATCAAAACCTGTTTAAGTTCCTTTCCATTTCTGTTTCTCACCTACAGAGAAACTTGCAAGTTTTGGCTGTGGTTTGAGATGTTTTTTTAAAAAAATAGGGCATCAAGCATGAGGGTGCAGGTGTTCGGGAAAAAAAAAAGAGAGAGATGGTAGAGGGACATGATGCTCTCCAAATAAGCAGGACTACAACTTTAGGAAAATGTTTCATGTGACCTCAAAAGAAAAAGAGTAACTTCCATTCCAATTTAGGAAAAAACTGTACTTGTTTCTGTATTAAGATGTGGGCAGTCTATAAAAAAGCTATGCTTTTTGTGGTTGGCTTTTTTATCTTTTAATGGATTTTTTAAAAAAACCCTCTGAAATGGCATAGTGAATGGCATTCATTTTTTTAGTGAAACATACCTATTTCACTAAAAAAATTTTTCCCACAACTCCAGCATAAAATAATGGACTTTAAAGTCGATTGCTGCCCTTTCTCTATTGTCAAAGATATTATTATATCCCCTGCCAACTTCAGAGACTATATTTTTTTTTTGTTAAAATATGTTTATAAGCCATCAAGCCTCAAATACATAATTGCATTTTTGAAAAATGACATCACAATGCAGTTATTATTCTGATGTCACGGTAATGGACATACTTACTGATAGTAAGTGGAATATGGATCTTTGAGTAGCCAAACTGCAATCAAATATAGGAAAAGGTGGAAATACCAGCAAGGGTGCTTCATTTCCTTATCACCCCCACCCCCCAAATAAAGAAAGATCCACTAAAAAAAAAACCATGCATATTGGAAATGCTGCTTACCATTGGTTAGAAAAAAAAATGGAAAAAGAGGAGCAGAGATGAAATGGAAAATTTTGGAAAGGAGCCTCTCCAGTGTCTGTCTGGTTCCTAGAGAGAACTAAAACACCCTGGGAACTTTGACTGGGGAAGGGCCTTCTTTTCTGTTGTGGAGGTTAATAAAATCAATGAACCGTGAACCTTTGTCTCTATGAATTTCTACTTTAACAAATGAGCCTTTAAATCATTTAACAGTAAATGTTTTTATTTACATAATAAAAACATAACAATATCTATACAATTAATAAACAGCACTTAGTTACTATGATTAATTATCCTGTCAGCTATATATCTATATCTATATCTATTCTCTCTAAACTATGTTATCTATGACTATTCTTCCTCAGAAGAAATATTATTATAAACCACCAGAACTGCTCTTCTAACAGACTTCCAAACTGCTCACAGTTGTTTAAAGGAAGATGCTAGAAAAGTTCAGACTTAAGACCTAAGACCAAATAGCTAAGACGAGTGAAGATCGAAGAGCAGAGTTTCTGACAAGAATCTCCTTTTATACTGCTAACTATGACAGTTAGGGTAGGACCCTGGAGATTCAAACATATTAGCTGCCCTCTGATTGGCTTATGTATCTGTCCATTCCAAAAGCCATTAATAGGCACAGCTATAGAGAAATAAATTTTCTCTAACATTTTCCTATGAAGTTAATCTGCAAGGGGGGTGGGGGCATTGCTGTGGTTCAGATATGGCTGCTTTGCCTTTCCTGCCAGTGCCTCAGATCGAATGCTGGAAGCCACTTTAGTTCCAGGTCCTTAAGGTGAGCACATTCCCCTTTGACACAATTTAGCCATCTTGGTGTTTACCCAGCCAGAGTGCGTAAAGCAGGGCAAAGAGCACATTGTTTCCATTCCATCCAAAGGAGGTTTAATAGCTGGGTAAAGTGATCAGTCTGAAATGTCCCAAAGCAATTAATTTGCTATAAAAGGATTAGTAAATATCCCAAAGTATGACTCCGTAAATACTTTTACTGAAACTGTGGAAAAGTACTCCTCCCCCCAACTCTGTCTTTTAGTCACCCCATTGATAGAAACAAAAGTTTTTTTTAAAAAAAGCTTATTAAGAGATAAACTGTGTTCCTGATAACTGGGAAAGAGAAACCTTATCCTTCTTATCTGTATTATTATTATTATTATTATTATTATTATTATTATTATTATTATTATTATTATTGAGAACAGGAAGCTAGGAGAAGAATAGCTCTTCCTTCTGCTTTTTTCAGTTCCTTGAACCACAAGGTGATCTAGCAAACATTAACATACCATATGCCTAGAAACTCACCTCTTTGCCATTCTTCATATACCGTGGATAAAAGCACCTGGATAAAAGAAAACACAATTTAGTCTCGCTGCCGAGAATCATTAATGCATGACTCATCATTCCTTTTGCTGTGGCTCCAAAGGTTCTCACATTCTGAAGTGCAAAATCTCTAAAAATAGGATGAACCCAAAATATATTGAGCTATTTTTACATAAGACGTACAGTAGGTAGCTCCAGTGTAGATTGATCATTTGATTTGTGAAAAAGAAACTTTATTATGGGCTATATCACTGAGCACCCCTAAATTCCTTTGGAGAGAGCACTCAGAGAGCCAGTATGATGATCTTTATTGCAATTTGCACTTTTTTTTTAATTTTTAATTTGAATCTTGAGGGCCCTCCCTTGGAAAGTAATGATGGGGCAAAGCAATTTGCAGAACCTCCTTCCTTCCCTTCCCTTTCCAATAATTTTGTGGAGATGATGAGGCCGAGTGATTCTGTCTTGCTTACCTGATCTTTTTACTTTCTACTTTCTTACTTGAACATGTGAGCCAATTTGGGTGTTTGAATAAAAAGAATACAACTTGAATGGAAAGGGTTGTTTCTATTTTAAAGAAGGAAATGAAAAAGGAAATAAATAAGAGCAGGCTACAAAGCTAAAAGGGGATTTGACTCTTCCTGGAGTCAGATCTCTCTCCCCAAGCATCTACCCTTTGTCTCCTACGGAAGAAGAGTAACCTCTCTGGAGATTTTTTAAGAGGAGAATTTTCAGACAGTTTCAAGGGGTAGTGGGCCCATCTTTAGTCCCCTGTTCTTTTTTGCCCTTTTAATCAACCAAGTTCTTTTTGGAACATAGTTTGGGTGTGGCCCAATACCGTGAAACAGTATTATTTCTAGAGGCACTATTAGCAAAAGACAATTAAGAAATTAGTGAAGAGATTAATGTAATTCACATATTCTCAGGGTGAAAGAAGTTACAGTGAGACTGATAGAAGCAACCACAGTAAGAAGTAGTAATTAACTACATTAGTAGTGAAAAGCATAGCAGTGCATTCTACTTTCACTACTCTAGAGTCTTGTAGGCATGCATGTTGATATGACAGGAGTTGTACTCCAAATCTTATGAAAGGCAAATTAGGGAATACTATTGTACAGAATTGTATAATCTTGGCAATTTCTGGATATGGGGACTTCAGTTCCCAAAATTTTCAGCAATAGGTCTGCTGGCTGGGGAATTCTAGCAGTTAGTCCATATATTGCAAGCGTACTCAGGCTGAGAAATACTCTTTTAGTAAAGGGTATAAGGCCTGCATCCTGTTCATCATTCTGGTTAGCATGGATTTATATTGTGCACTTCACGTTATACTTCAAATTGTGTACACACAACTTATTGTTTTAATTTTTGTACAGTCATAGTCAGACCATGCATTTTTAAAAATATTAGCTAACTGGGGTTCCTACAAGTGGATATGAGCAGAGGTAACATTTCTACCACCAGTTTTGTGAACAGCACATTGGAGAGAATTGATAGATAGGTACTTATAGCTCTGTCTTATAAAAGGAATCTTTTCTCAAGTCAAACTTCCCCAGGATGATGGGGAAAGTCTGAAGAATGTTTACTTATTTGTTATACAGTATAATATGCACTATATATTTGTATGAAAACACCTACAGAATCAGCTGTGGAGTAAAAATAAAATCCACAACTCTATAAAATTTATTTATTTATATGATTTATACGATCATATTGCTGGATATTATTTATTTGTCTCCCCTCCCCCTCCAAAATCTCACAACAGAGACTCTGGGCAGCATACAAATTTGAAACAGCAACAATCCCACAATTTAAGCCACAATATCCAAAGTTAAAAAGATAATCCCAATTTATAAAAACAACTTTAATAAACAGAACTTGCCTAACCCATTACTGTAAATCAAATGCCTGGGGGAACAAGCAGGACTTCATTAGGGCATCGGTCAAAACCCTGACAACAGGCATCCTTTTGGACTTGGGAGTTGTGGCAGCATCTGCCCAGTAGAACATCATCCCTTTGGAAATCCAGATATGTTTTTGTAAGACCAATGTCTTACAAAAACCTATCTCGATTTCCAAAAGACCAATGTCTTACAAAAACCTATCTGGATTTCCAAAAGGATGCTTTTCTACTGGGCAGATGCTGCTATAACTCCCAAGTCCAACAGGATGCCTGTTGTCAGGGTTTTGATCGATGCCCTAATGAAAGCAGGAGCCTCAAGCAAAGTTTCAAGAAAAATCCAGTTGTTTATTAGGAGTGCCATGTTGGCATGGACCAAGTGAAGCCAGCTCTGACTTCACTCAATTCCATGCCTTGCCTCTGACCCTGTTTCCCCTCTCCCCAAGGTGTGTCATCAGTCACATTCCCCAACGAAGCAATTTTGCAGGTCGTAGAAGTCACTCCCTCCGGCTGTTGCAGGTTTCTGTGGAGATGACCTTGACTTTGGCCGGCTAGGATATGTTTTGTTTTGACTGAGGTGCAAATTCCTCAATGTAGCTGCGAGGCTCGATTCCCCATCCCCCTGCCTATGGCAACTTGGGAGCAGGTCAGGAAAGCTTTGCGAGTTGACACCTGTCTCTGATGGAAGATTTCCAGAGATACCTTCTCTGCTAGAACTGATGAGGAAATCTGAAATAATGGGAAGAGAGGCAATTCCTCAAATAAGCTGGCTCCATGTCAAGGGCTTTAAAGATAACAATCACCACATTGAATTGCATCCAGAAGGCCACTGAAAGCCAGTTCAGCCAGCAGGGCAGTGTTGTAATGGGGGTGCAACAAAATGCCAAAAGCTGCCTGCATATTCTGGACCCATAGCTTCCAAATGATTTTCAAGGGCAGCTCCATGTAGAGTCCACTGCAGTAATCCAAATAGGAAGCGACTAAGGTATGAGTCACCATGAGCAAAATAAAAGCTTAAGACACTGAAGCATTGACTGTGGGAGGTCAGATCCACGATCTATGATTGTGGCACCAAATTAGTTCATTCTTCCTTGTTATGTAGTGAACAAGAGTAACGGGGCTGACTATGTGGGTTTCTCAGTGATGCACTCATTGCCACAGTAAGGCTAATACAGATTTCTATACTACTTTTCTCCCACAGCTGGAAAGTTATTATTTGGCACCAGAAGTTGGATTTCCTACTGGGTCATAATCAACCATTAGAAATTGCCATGCAATATCAGAAATGTAACACAGCTTGTCTTAATATGAACATTACTACTATCATTATTACCAGCAAAGGTGACACTTATCATTAGTTTAAAAAAGACCATCTGGTCTGGCCTGCATAATAGTTCCAATTACTGAGCACCCATCAGATGCCCTTTTTGTAATAGTTTTTGCCACCTAGCATTAGCAACTCTTAAAGTGATTTTTCCTCTGTCGATTCATTTCTCTCCCTCCATTCTTGTAATGGCAGTTTCTTATAATCCTGTTTCCCATAAAAGAGGACGATATAGAAATATTTGTGATGACCCAGCTACAGATAAATAGAGAGTATTTCTCTTCCTCTCCTATTTTAGCTGTCAGACAATAATGGGTTATTTTGATGTCATGGATGGAAGAATTCAGCTGCCCCAATCCTTGATAAAAGTTAAGGTCTTGTTTGCACTTGTTCAGTTTTTCACCATTAGTTCAACAAACATAATTATGGAGATGGGTAAGCATATCAGAATAACCAGGGATAAAATTGTGTCAATAAAGGCACATCAGTGCGGGATATTTTCTTAGGGGATCAGTCTAATTTCATAGTAATTGATTTCTACATCTCTTGCAGATCTTGTATGCCTGAAAAGTCTTCCTCTTCTATAAGATTATGAATAAAACCTGCTGCTCTGATCATATGATTTCCTTGCAGTTTAAAAACTTATGAATTATTTTTCTGGCATTACTACTCATGAAAGCGTATCTCCTAAAGTAGCTCTGGGCTACATAGGGCCATTACAAACCCAAGATTGTTATGACTGCTGAAATCAATGGTAAATAGCTAAATAACACTGGTGTGGTTTTTCACCATTGGGTGCTTGTAGGGAAATAAAGCAAGAACTAGTGTCCTTAATAGACCGATACCAACATTTTATACTGCAACTGTACTGTCAGTTTGGACTGATTTGGACTATGAAAAGATTTATCAAATCAAATGGGATACTGTACATTTGATAAATTCAGCCCTATTTGACCCAGTTTAGACAACTTTCTCCTTATATATTCCTGCTTTTTAATGATCTGAATCCAATCCAGTCAAGTCTAATTGAGAGATTTTGGCCAACTGAATGACATTGGATTGATTTTCTAAATTAAGTCAAATGTTGCAATTAATTTTACAAATCAATTTGATTAGTTTACTATAATTCCAATTTTGTGTGTCCCCCATTTTTTTTTTTTTAATTTGATTTATATGCCGCCTTTCTCCGGAGACTCAGGGCGGCTTACAGTGCGTTAAGCAATAGCCTTCATACTTT